CTATCCCCCTGCAGCCCATGGAGGGTAACGCTGGAGCAGATATCCCCCTGCAGCCCATGGAGGGTAATGCTGGAGCAGATATCCCCCTGCAGCCCATGGTGGGTAATGCTGGAGCAGATATCCCCCTGCAGCCCATGGAGGACCCCATGCTGGAGCAGCCAGATGCCCAGAGGAGGCTGTGACCCTGTGGAGAGCCTGTGCTGGAGCAGGCTTCTGGCAGGACCTGTGGACCCGTGAAGAGAGAAGCCCACCCTGAAACAGGTTTGCTTGCAGGATTTGTTGACCCTGCAGGTGACCACACTGGAGCAGTCTTCTTCAGAAGGACTGCACCCCATGGACTGACGCTGGGGCAGGTCATGGAAGATGGTGTCCTGTGGGAGGGACCCCACGCTGGAGCAAGGGAAAAGTGTGAGGAGTCCTTCTCTGAGGAGGAAGGAGCAGCAGAACCGCAGCAGAGACAATATGTGATGAACTGACCACAACCCCCATTCCCTATGCCACCTGGGGGCAGAAGGCAAAGAAAATTGGGAGTGAAGCCTGGGAGGAAAGGGTTTTAAGATTTGGTTTTATTTCTCATCAGCCTACTCTGATTTCATTGGTAGTAAATTAAATTAATTTCACCAAGTCAAGTCTGCTTCGCCCATGACAGTAATTGCCAAGTGATCTCCCCATCCTTATCTCGACCCACAAGCCTTTTGCTGTATTTTCCATGCCCCATCTAGCCGAGAAGGGAGGGTGATAGAACAGCTTTGGGGGGCACCTGGCAACCAGCCAGGGTCAACCCACTACAGATCAGGTCCAGTGTTTTCAAATGGCTGAGAAAATACATAATGGGCTACTCTGGAAAACGTAGGCATCTGCATCAGCATGAAATTGATCTTCATAAAGACCTACCTGCAAAACAGCTTCTTACAAACCAAGCAAAACCAAGCTGTTGCTACACAAAAGTGGATGGAAAATAGCTCCCCAAAAATAGAACAACAAATGAGCAAAGCTAATACAAAGACAACCTTCCATACCTTTTACAGCCCCAAACCTGAGGTTCAGCTGAAGCCGAATCTCAATATGAATATTTATTCTTTGAAGGAGATGGGTATTTATTTTAAGAAACAGGGCTACACCGAGACAAGGGTTATCAAGGCAAAATATAGCTTTGGTAATATTTATGCTTTCCCACTTTGATGCTCTGTAACCCAAATAAACACCGTACAAACGAAAAGAAAACCCATATATCCATGAATCTTTTTGATCTAATTACTAGTTTACAAACCTGGTAGATAACTTTGTAACTATCATAACTATTGAACTATAAAAGGCAAGGCACACAGTGATATTTCCAGAAAACTTTCAAATTAATTAAAATGAAGAGTCTCAAACTTTATAGTGGCCTGACTTGGCAGAAATACCTTAGAGATATTTTGGGTTTGCAGCGTTAAACAGCTGAAGTACTCTTGATGACTACACGTCAGTGCACCCCACAAGTCTCAAATTCTTCAGTGGGATTGTCTTCCCATTTATTTCATATTTCTGCATTAAGGACACTATAGAATCACACAGTTTCTATTGTAACTAGGTATTTGTAGGAGTCCTTACATATATATTTAAATTATGTTTTCTGTTTCCAGACGAGAAGGGGAATGTTGACTGTAAAACAAGAGAGTAGGGTTGGAGTAGATAAAAGTAATCAGAGGGCAAATGATTTTATACAATTAAATTAAAACTTACACCTAGGTACTACTAACAACCACTTCATTACCTTTCTTCACTGAAGCAGTCATGATTATTGACAGTGCACGTGCGAGTCTACCAAGCTTTAGGAATTTTCAGATGCAGCTTTTAAAATAAAATAATTTAAAAAATTCATTAGGAGTATGAGACAATGTAACTTTTTTTAATCCAGTGGAACCACAATTTTATTCCGTTTCATGTTACATTACGTTTCCTGGATGCTAAAGTAGGTTTGCTGCTATCAATCTCCTTACAGAATTCACCAATAAAAGACAAAAGATACCAAGTGAAGATATTAGATCCTCCTGTGGAGCAGTGAGACTGTTTTAAAAGCCTTAGAAGTGTCACAGGAACACATACAGCATAGAAAAGAAAAATTTCTATGGGAAAAATTCCATCAGTTTCTATCACTGAAAGAATTAAAATACACGTTTTAAATCCACTGCTCAATCTTCATTTAACCACTTTTTAAAATGTCACTGTTTGCAGCCTGCCATACTGTATCCTGCTATTTCTGCTTTCTGAAACAACTTTTTGCTCAACGCTCCCTAACTTTCGTCTACATTTTTTGCAGTGAACAAAACTGATACCTTCGTGCCACCTAGTGGCTAGAAAAGCCCTACACCAAACACCAACACTTCCACCGGCAGATGCTAGGTCAAAACCATTTTTTTCAAATCTTTGCCCCGTCAGCTTTTCCCCACCAACATTAGCTTAGTATTACCATTTTCTCAAAGAAAATGAGATCATCATCATGGCTAGGCATGAGATATGTAGAACATAATTCTCCTAAACTGTGATGCAGACAGAAAAACTCGCCCAGTCCGTGGCTTGTTCCGAGTCACTTCCACGGTAAAGAAGGCTCACAGGCTTCTCAGAGAGAAACACCGTAACATATAAGATTTTCACCTATTTCTGCTTACTGCCCTTGATAGATAAATCTCTGGTCACAGCCAAGGAATGGTTAATTGAAGCTGTGAAGCTACTGGAAACAGCGGGTCTTTCAGTATGGCTTTGAATTGAGTTTATCACTGCTCTGTTCTTTTAAATTAAAATTAATGTGCTTATTTAACAATACAAGTTACTTGTTCTCCTATTGCACTTATCTATTTTAAGCAATAGCAAATGAAATACAACATAGAATTTCACTGAAAGTACTGCACAGCTGGTAAAAACTTGACTGCTAAAACAAAACAATGGATCGTAAAATTGTAGTCAATCTAAAGCTTTCAAGATATCTTCTTTTACAGTTATTAAAAAATCTATGTTGAATCTTCTCGATTACTTCATATTTAATCTAAGCACTATTTTACTTCTGAAGAAAAATGTTTCAAATTGTATCTTCAAGGAGTTGCCAAAAGATGAATGCCTCAAACTGATCCACAGCCAAATTATTCGAAAAATTTCTTAAAGGAAAAAAAAGTGATAGAAATGCTGATTATTTCCTTTCCTTCAGGAATGATTGAGCTGCATAATTTAATAAAAGTATTAGCATATCACCTCTTAGAAGACCAATTCAGATATTAAAACACATACTTTATAAAGCTTAAAAGAAACATTTGAAAAAGGCTTGGCAAGATGTAGAAACAAATGCTACATTGTCTATTTTGCATGACATGTTAAAATTAATAATAGACATACACATCATAAAACATATTTGAGGAATGATAAAATGAGACAGAGAAAGTAAAGTGATTTGCTTAACAGCACATCAAAAGTCTCCTGAGACTAAAGCATATTCACTTCTCTCACAGATTTGTTACCCCCATTAGAATCAAATAATAAGCAGCAAAAATAAAATTATATTCTCCATGTACGCTCTCTGAACAGTACTGTTCACCTGAATGTGAATGTCCAATTATAAAATACAAAAATCAAAACTTCTCTGTAAACATAATAGTCTGTAATAAACACCTCTAATAAAATCCCTCTAAATCTATGAAGTTCACAATGTGAAGCAGTCATTTGCTGACACTCAGTAGTATTTGTAAATTTTGCAAGTTCATTTTTCACCTTTTGCATTTTCTATCACACTTAGCTAGTATTTTCAGGAGGACAGACAAGACCTACATAGCTCTTGCTTCCTACACCTTTAATGAAAGCAAGCTTATGCTTCAGGGAGACTACTATGTTTTAAAATGAAAGGCTTTTAATTTATTCTGTAATGGGTTACATCTCTAGACTCAGTGAGGCTTCTTTGTGCTACAACCTAGATGGCACATTCAGGCTTTAAACTAACTTAAATAGTCAGCAGGGGATTCCAATGATGCAGGAGATTAGCTGAGCTGAATGCAGTAAAATAGATAATTAATGGCGTATTTAATTCCCTGCTCCACCAAAGGGCAATGTTTAAGATGAGGGACTATAATTGATGCTAAATGAACTTAGCGGTCTCTTGACTACCAAATAAAGCTTATGTGCAATACTATAGGTCTCCCTATTGGGAGATAGTATAGAGAGATACTCTAAGGTACAGATCGGATATATTAAACCTACATAACACAAACCATGTCCCTATCCAGACCATCTATAACATTGTGGACATGCCAAACTGTACAACAAAATCTCATTAGAATGGAAGCTGATACAACAGTAACAGGAACAAAACTTACTTTCCAAAAAGTGAGAATCTGCTACTTCTATCTGGTCTTGCATCAACTACATCCTCGGGATCTTCATCACTTCCCTCCTGCGTGGACCTATCGACATGGTGATGGCCCGACATCTACAAATAAAAGTACAAGGATGTAAGAGTCCCTCAATGAACACTATCATTTTAGAAATACTTCTATAAACAAAACCATTAAACCAGATACATGTGAGGTTGTTAGTCAGTTATACTGTTTAATACTTCAAGTAAGAGAGGCCATAGATTTCTGGCCCTGAATTAACATGACAGCACATGCTCAGCCACCTGTATTACCTTAGTAGTTACCAAAAGTGACTTGTCTAATACCACTCTCAAAAATGCAGATAAGAACAAAAGCAAAAGCCATTTTATCATGAAAGACCTTATGACTAATTCCCAGCAAATTTTTTATGGTCTGGAAAGAAGTATGTTGGGAAGAAAGTAAGGACAATTAACATCAAAACATTTGTAACTGCAATCCTATCCAGTACTAAGAGATCCAGAGAGCTCCTGTATTTTCATCTGCATACACACAGTCAGATGTGCATGAGAGAAAAAACCCTGTATTATCTCCCATGCATCAATCTTAGGTTTTCCTTTCTCTGTATTGCCTACATCAACATTTAATGCGAATTTTATATTCTTCTTATGATTAATACTTGTGTACGTTAGGCAAAAAAAAAAAAAGTTTCACGCGTCTCAGAAGAGACACAGGGCATCACTAGACAACAAGATCTAAGGGCTTTTTTCTTGAGGAAAAAACGCTCGCTCTTTTCTTCTTCCATGCACTGAGTTGTCCGCTCAGGAAGTTTATTTAGATCATTAAGCCAGCAGAAATTCAGCAGAAAACTACAAGGAAAAAGGAGCCATTTTTCCTGATAATGGTGCCAGGATCTGCACCCGCTTGGCGAGGGGCAAGAAGAGCAGTGGAGGAGCCCCACCTGCACTGAGCTGCCTTGTCCAAGCCCGTCTCCAGTTATTCACGAGGAAAGGCAGCGGCAATTCCCGGTCCTTCCCCGTATTCAGGCAGGTTGAATTTACTCCGAGGAGCGCGCGTTCCCCCGCAGCCTGACCACCGCCCCGGTGACCCCGCAG